GATTGCACGAGAAAAGATATTTCTTGTTCTTGACTCGTGCTTCCAAGGCACTTTGAGCCAACAAAAAATTGTCTCTCAAATGCAGTGTAATATAATTTTTGCAAAATTTTCCTAGAAGATAACGAAATTACATATGTATGTATACTGTAATTTTGTATGCCAAAAATGTTGTAGAAAAAATTTAAAACGCACAAAGCTTTACGTTGGTGTTTCATTGAATGTCGCTCTTCTAAAGTTCTGTGAAAAGTTGGCGAAAATATTGTCAGAAGTTGTCAGTTTCATATGGGATTTGTACTCTTTGAGTGGCTTTACGAATACAGAAATGTTCACACAGAGAAAATTAAAAGCAAATAAATGCTCTAAGCGTTAATACTTGCATCTCTAATGTAAGAAGATTTTTGAAAATAAATAGTATTAAAAATTAATTGAAATAATAAAAATGAAAAGTAAAACCAAAAATAAAAATAAAAATAGAACAAGGCAAATATTGTATAAAAAATAAAGGACAAGAACAAAAAAGCAAACCAAAAACAGTGAAAGTAAAATAAACTGCTGTATTTAACTAAGGAAAGCTTGCTGACTTTAAATTTAGTGGGACAAGTTTTTATTTTTGGAAGATGAATTTTAAATTTTTGTTTACTTTTCAAGAGGTTTCATATCGATAACTCTGGAAGGGGGTGGGAGCAAATGTTGGTAAAAAAGAGTGTTTGCGGGTGAAATACGATTCTTTTTTTTTAATTTCTCTCTGTTTGATTTTGGGTCAGTTTTTTTGTTTTTCGACGTAAAAAAAGTTACAACGCAAAACACGGTCAAATTGTTTCGTAAACTCATTGTTGTAGGAGAACTAATTGTGTTTTAAATTAAAGTTTTAAGATGACATATTATAGAATATGAAATAGTTGCACTGTGGGTAAATCCCTGCTTGGAGCTTATGGCAGCCATTGTATCTCTGCTCGTGCGCACCGGCGTTGAATGAACTTTCTCGTCATTTTGAATTTTTTTTTATTTACTTTTAATGTTGTGTGGTCTTTTCATTCTTCTTTATTGGCGTATCACCGATTAGCCGTATCAACAAAAGCGCGCTATTCGATTCTTCTCTTCGCTGTTTGGACCCAGGTCGCTCTCCACCTGATCATTCAAACGGAGTGGAGGTCTTCCGTTTCCTTGCCTTCCAGCGGCGGGTACTGAATCGAATACTTTAAGAAGTAACCCAGTCATCGTAGCCGCTGTCTCTTCATTCATTGAACTACAATATATCAATGTCACTTGTACGCTCCAACATCTACGGTATTCGTCGCATTCGATGGGCAAAGGATCATGAATCGTTTACAAAACTCCCAAGAACCGCCATATCGGATGCTGTTTTCAGTGGCATATGATTTAAAATATGTGTGAGAACTAACGGATGTTCCACGCGTACTCCTTTCAATAGTCTTTTTTTTTTTGGAAATACCACACGTGAGTCGTGACAAGCAGTCATGTTAAGACTTACGCCTGAACACCGTTAACAAATCGTTCAACTCTTTTACAAGAATTCACGTTCCATAAAAAATGTGTGTTCGGGCGCTTCTCTCAACTTATGGTCAACATAATCGGCCTACGTTCTACTCGCAACACCATAACTCATCTTGAGACCCAGAATTGAATTTCTGAATAATATTCGACCGAATAGACCACGTTCAGCACTCAGTGAAGAAAATTTAGCGGCCGTAGCTAAGAGTGTACTCGAATACTGTGGAAAGCCGATTCGGCGCAGTTCGCAGGAACCCGGACTGACGTATGGAGCGACTTGGCGCATTTTACGTGGATATCTTAAATTCAAAGCATACAAAATACAGCATGTACAAGAACTGAGGCCACTCGCTTCGCTCTAGGGGCTCTTCAAAAGTTCAAAGAAGATCAGACGTTTTCGAGCCAAATTTTTCTTAGCGATGACACCGATTTCTGCCTCAATTGGTCTGTGAATAATCAAAATTACCGCATTTGGAACGAAAAGATTCAAGAGCTGTTATTTTATTCAGAAAACACAACGGTTTAGTACGGTTTGTGAGCTGGTGTTATCATCGGTCCATATTTCTTCAAAAATGTGAACGTAACCGTCACTGACGACCGTTGTAATGCCATGATAACCGACCCTTTGATACCTTAAATTGAAGCTCGTTTTCTCGGCGACATTTGGTTTCAACAATACGGTGTCACTTTCCACATATCGCATCAAATAATGGATCGGCGGATGATCATACCGCTTTTTTGATCTTTCCTCATATGGAAATAACTCGAGGCTTCAGCCAAGGTGGCTTTCTCGTGAGATTTGATTTAAAAAGGGAACTTCTTTTGAAAAGAAGAAGAAATAATATCAGTGTTCAAATGTGTAAGCAAAGAAAACGAAACCATCTTAACAAACCCAATTGTACAAGATTAACATACGCGGAGTTGAGAAAAAAAAATAAAAATATGCGTTTGCGAATAGTTAAAGATAAGGGTCATGGGTCAATTGGAGATTCCTAGCTCCTGGTATTTCCAATGGATTGGAGATCATTCTCTTCCTCTGCTTTCACCCCGGCAGGTACTGTATCGAAATCTTTCAAAGCTGCAGTATTCGTATCCCTCCGGACCACATGGCCTAGCCAGCGTAACCGCTGTCTCTTCATTCGCTGTACTATGTATATGTCGTACAGCTCATCGTTCCATCATCTGCTATATTCGCCGTTGCCAACTGATGCAAAACCCAGCCGACTCATGAGATGTTGTCATCGTCCATGCTTCCGCACCATATAGCAGGACGGCAACGATGAGGGACTTGTAGAGTTTGGTCTTCGTTCGTCGAGAGAGGGCTTTACTTTTCAATTGCCTACTCAATTTAAAGTAGCAACTGTTGTCAAGAGTGTTCCTGCAAGCGCTAGTAGCAGTTTGGTCTGTTTGAAAACTACACAACCACCCCCCACAGTAATTTAGTTTTACGCCCAACTGTCTTCCTATAGGTCTGCTCACTGCGAAGCCCACTCAATTTTCCATTAGAAAAAACAAGGACCGTAATTCGGCCACTAGTTGCAAGCTAAAAAATATATTATTTTCAAGACGGTGGTCCAAGCGCAGTTTTTGCAAATAAACTGATGCATAACTTTTGTGAGCTTTTGTCACCTTTTCTGAATAGTCCAGCCAATAAACCATCGGCTCCCGCCGCTTGGTCACAGTCGGACAATGAAATATCTATTCCATCGTATTCGATCGGGATTCCGGGTTCACCGTCTCCGGGTGTTTCAATAGCACTGCAGTACAGCAGATTGGAGAAATATTTCCTATATAAACTCAATACATTCTTAGAATCTGTCCCAAAATCACCTGTTCACCTGAGTACTGAAAATTTTTTAATTCACAGGATTTTCTCGTAGTAAGGTAAGGTCCTCACATTTACATATCTCGACATCAAGACTGTTATGTATGCAAATGCGTATGGATTCCTCTTCCACTCTGAATTTCTCTTCTACACAGCATGGTTTGAAGTCGATTGCAACATTGCGAGCTAAGCAGCATTTTTCTCTCCATTGCATTGCTATACTGCAACTCTCATCAAATAGGATTTACTTTTGACCTTTTTGAAAAGCAATGACTTCGTTTGCTGTAGGTAAGAAACTTGAAATAACGTCACCCATTTCGCTTTTACCCAGATGCTGACAAGTTATCTTTGAGTTATTTATGGGAGCAGGAGTGCAAGTCGAGTTCGTGGTTTTGTTACCAGCGAAATAGGAGGTAACAAACAATCTGCTGTCCGATTTTGTGTTGTAAGTTTGAGAAAAAATAAAAAAACCAAAACGAGTAGGCATATTTTAGGCCTGGAATTCATTGAAGATGAAGAAAAAAGTAGAAAAGGGCGTATTTTAAGAAGTTTTCGAGACAAAAATAGCCCTTTAATTTGTAAGATACCGTTTTCATACAGCTTTTTTTGTTGTCCAGGCATATTTTCCATAATTAGGTTCAAATATGTATGATTTAATAAACAAATTAATAAAACTTTCTAATTTTTTTGTGCACCGTCTTCCATTTCGATGTGAATATTTATCTTTTTACTTTAGCAAATGGAAAATGTAATTTGACAAGGACGAAAAAAGCAGTGCTGCCAAATTTTTTTCAAACATTGTAACCAGTTCGCCAGAATACCAAATTCGATTTCGAGTGTTAAAGAGTAGTGACAAAATTTACTTTACCGTTAACAGTGAGTATGGGCCTGTTAATGAACACTTAAATTGGATATGCCCGGAGTGGCTTTACTTAATAAAGTTCTCGAACACTACTGCAACTCAGATTAGAACCTTTATCGGTCACTACAAATGAATAACTGGCCTATGAAGACGTTGGAGCCAGCCAGTGTAACCTAACATCACTTACTCGCAACAACAAAACAATAAAAGAAGAAGAAAAAATCTGCATTTTTTTCACGGTTTACTTATAACAAAAAAAGAACGTGTGTAGTTAGTCACTTGGGTAAGTAAGTAATCCCCAAAACTCGACAACATTTGTTTGCGTATACATGAATGACTAAAAATAACCGGCTTTGCTTGGACGCTCTGACTTCACCGCGTAATGTTCTTTCCAGGTTAACAATTCAAACTGAAAGCACGCCAATTAGTGACATTCACACCAACAAATCTGACATCTACAATAAAATGAATAAATCTCTGCGGACGTCGGTGAGATGAGTGATCATCCATTGAGAGATCTGATTGAATGTAATTCCCCTCTGCGACACGATGTTTGGGAATATGAAGTAGATTAAGAAAGCTGCCTGAGCAGCTGGGTTTTATAAGAAATTAAACAACTAAAACAAAAAAAGTAATTGAAAATAGTTGTGGTAAACCCCCGCGAAAGTCGTATGCGCCGTTTCAACGCGCCGCTCGAGTGTTGGACTGATAAGAGACGACGCTGCTGCTGCACTTATCAATCGCTATAAAAATTATCAGCGAAGCTCGAGTTGAATTGGGTATTTAAGTAGCGAAAGTGGCTGACAGAAAAATATTCAAGCATTTGGTGTGAACGGCGAGTCGACGCTTTTGTTATAAAGAACTAAATAAAAATAACTTAAATACAGACATACGTCCGAAAAAATGCAACGACAACAAAAACTGCTGTGTTTCGTCATTTTGGCGATTGGTAAAGAGAATTGTGAAGTTAATTAGCTTATAAAAGTTCCTTAAACTAACTTAGGAAATTTCATTCCACTTCTGTAGCCCTCCCAGCCTGCCTTGCCATCACCATACAGCCGCGTAGCTCTTGGAACGCCGCTGCTGCACGCTCACCGGCGCGCATACCTGGCAAAGTGGACTATGTGATCATACATCATTCGGATAACCCGAATGGCTGCAGCACATCGGCCGATTGCAAGCGTCTCATCAAGAATATCCAAAGCGATCACAAGGGTCGTCGCAAGTTCAGCGATATCGGCTACAACTTCATAATTGCCGGCGATGGCAATATCTACGAGGGACGTGGTTTCGGTTTACAGGGCTCGCATGCGCCGAACTATAATCGCAACAGCATTGGAATTGTGTTCATTGGCAATTTCGATAGTGAGTAGACACTTAAACAGCATTCTTAACTCTTATCAATTATCTGCTACTCTCACCCCAGATACCACACCTTCTCAGACGATGTTGCAAAATGCTAAGGATCTCATGGCGCATGCAGTGCAACAGGGTTACCTCAAGGACGACTACACCTTGTTGGGTCACAGACAAACCAAGGCAACAGCTTGTCCCGGTCAGCGTTTGTATGATGAGATTAAAACATGGCCTCATTGGAAGAGTCTTTAAAGAACACATTTTGCTATGGTATAATACTAATTGCTTGTTAGGGTCCCAGTTTTAATTGTAGGTCATTTAAACTTATGAAACAAAAAGTGATAACATTTTGTATAAAATGTATTAGAATAAAAATAATAAATAACATACATATTATTAGTTTATAAATGCTTTCGTTTGTTAATCTCAAATCGCCAATCAAAAGTGGGTAAAAACTTTCAATAAATGATTTCATCCATAAAATATTGATTTCAAAATCATGAGCCAATGAGAAAGTTTTTGAAAGGCCGATTCGCATTATAGCAACAGTTTGAGAGCCACAACCAAAAACTTGTAAGGTTTAAGTTCTCTGCAAAACGTTTTTTTAGCCGGGTTTTCAACCATCGCATAACTGAACCACAGAATTCATAATAACAAAAGTAATTAATTTCGTGGCGGCTGTTATTTAACACGATGTTGAATTCCATTCCCGCACCACGAAATTTATTTTGATAACAGAGGCCGACAAGTAATTTTCTGCTAAAAACAGAAAAATGGTATGCAATTAATTTCTTACAAATAATAAATTCCTTAATAAATAAATAAACAACTTAATAATAAATGATTTCTATATGTTAATGTATTTCCTATTTAGTTAGTGTCTATAAATCTAAATATCCCCTTTCTTACTTTTTATCTTCTATATTACTTTAAATATAAATAATAAAATATGTTTAATAAATATTAAGAAATAATTTTTTTAAGAAATTTTTAAAAGAATTAAAATATCTTTATTGGAAAAATTGCATTTTAGTATTCATCCGTTTTTAGTCCATAATTCCAATCAAATATAGGGCTCACATATCCACGAGTGTCTCTTAAGGGAACAGGTATTCCAGTCGACCTCGAACCTTGCCTATGTTTGTTGACGGACGTCCTTTGATACACAGAGGCACGTGCATATCTTCGCTGCGACAAGATAGTGATCCGAGTAGATTTTACGCCTTTGGAAGGTACGCAAATCTAGAGAGCTTTTCGAACCGGCAACAATCACGTTGCTTAATGGATTTTCTTGTAGGTAAATCTGATGCTACAGACAATAACATTTCAGGCTCCGATAAAGTTAGTCAGCCTCAGGACGCCTCAGGAGATTTCGTCATGGCGACTAAATTTGGCGACCGGTTTGCCGAAAATACCTTCTTTGCTCACTGGAGCTAAAGTGGGAGAGCGCTCATAGGCATATTCTAGAAGCTCATTGAAAGCGTCTTTGGTCACATAGTCCTTCTCTTCCGTTGGGCCGTGGGTACAGTGACATGTTGAAATATTTCGCTTTTATGCGAATTGTGGCTAGACGGTAATCCAAAGGAGTGAATGCCAGGGCTCCACGGCGGAGTCTCTCTCTCACCATAAATCCGCCACCAAAATTGCGCTACTTTATATGAGTGCTATAGTAAATTTGACAAGGACCTACTCGCTTCCGTTTTTTACCCGTACATCGTACGTGGTGATGTCAGTCTTTAATCTTATTATTACATCATACAGCAGGGCAGCTGGGACGAGTTTAGCGCCAATTTGTGCGTTGTATTTAACTCTTCTTTTTTCTTTAGCGTACGTTTTATACTGAAGATTTTGACAGGGCTCAAAACCGGGCCAAGAAATTAGTTTTATTTTAAAGATAAAGATTTGATTTGATTAATAAAGTCTAGCCGAAATGTACAAGTTTTGATCTGAATTGGCTGATATACAGAAAGCGATAAGCTGCCGAATATTCTCCTCGCCTCGAACTTTTATGCGAGGACAAGCGACTTCACATAAACCCATAAAATTCGGCGGTGTTAATTATCACGATTTGGAGGCCAGGTCGCAGGCCCAGAGTTTTCTTTAACAAATGATTAAATTGTTTCGCTGTATGGCATGTAGCGCCATCTTGAGGGAACCGAAGGTAGTCCACATTCACGAAAATGTTAAAATGTTAATAATCACGATTCAATTCTTCCACGAGTTTTATTTTTTAAGCACTCAAACCAAGATCCTTCTTCAAAATCTTCCATAAACAGCATGGGTGCAGCTTCAATTGTTTTCAGCGACGCAGCTGGACTCACTGGGTCCGATGTTTTGCTCAACAGCAGTAGTATCGCCCTCAGTGTGGACTGTACGACGTCTCTGATGGTGAATAAACTACGAAAAAATTATTGTCTCAATGGTGTTTAATATGGATTAGCAGAGAAAGAATGGACAATCACTTTAATGAAAAATAGGAAGGCTCCATTGAATTGTAACGCTGAGCTAACTTCAGCAACAATTGGTAATTTTGTTGCTTTTATAGTTAAAAATCTCATAGCTTTAGCACAATGAGACGATTGGCTTAAGTGCGTTGGTCACTGACCAATAACCGAATCAACTCATCTCAACTAATTTGAAAATTTTCCCTTTTACAATTATAAATTCATATAAAATGTAAAAAAAGAAAAAAACATGCAAAAAATAAAGAAACATTTTGAAAGCCGTTACACTGAATAAAATCAAATAAGTGAAAAAGGTTGACTTCGGGGCTATAGGACTCAACCTTGTTAAATTTCCTTTGGTATCACAATGAAGGCGAATTTAGCAAGGTGGAGTTACCAGAACAGCGAAATCAATTTTTTGCATTTAATTAATTCGCTTCAGTGTAAAGGCTGTCAAAATGTTTGTTTATGTTTGGTTTTTTATATTTTATAATTGAATAGAGCTGTGTTGCTACGGTTGCTAATCAACGCACTTAGGTCAGTAGGCCGTTGTGATACCGTTATGAGGTTGTCATTTTCGCATTCTCGAATGTTAGAGCCATTTCGCCTGTGTATGAAAATCAACGAGAATACCAATTCTTACCGAAGTCAACTAAGCGGTCAAATGGACTAAGCGGGTATCCAATGGACTCTTTCTATGGCGCCACATTCATAGCCTTTTTTCCCGTGAAGACTCATCGAACGGTTATCTGTTATTGCACCCGTCGTTATGCCAATGGATTACAGGTCTAGAAGGATTATATGTTAAGATTTTTCGGCGACCAATTTTGTCCAAAGATGTCGTGTCACGTTTCAAGCGACCGCACTCAACCATCTATTGTTGATATTTTTGCTAAAGCTAAACCTTCATTATGTGCATTTTTGTCATGAATAAAAGGATTCCTTTTTTCAACAAGCTTTGAGCCGTCTGTAAAGATGGGTATGGCTTCTTCATCGAAGGCGTTTGTTTTTTCCCATTCATTCCTTTTCGGGATTCCTGTTTGAAGAGATTGTCTAAGTAATCCGTTGTGCTTTGTATGTACATATGTTGAACAGGGAGATCCATAATTTTTCCAACCTTTACAAAATGAAGGATCTACATCTTCCTGGATACTTTTTTTTCGAAAAAATTTTGAACAAGGGGCTGCATATACATACATCATTTTTTGAAAAGGAAATTACGTTTATATTATGGTTAAATATAAGATATTCTTCCAATACCAACTATAAATAATAATTATAATCAATGACCTATGGACATAAACTACAATTGCCAACACAGCGTTACAAAATCTAATTCCCTTCCAAAGAAGGAGCCAGTAAGAAGACACTTCATAAAAGAAAACCACTCTATCCTTAATGCCAATTAAATTAGAAAACTTTGATCCCTAAGCTGACGATATCAATTTTAATTTTTGTTTTTCTTCAGGAAGTTTTGAAATATTGATTCAATTTGACAAAAGCGAATTGTATGAACTTGCCATGATTTTGACAATTATTGCACTGAAAATATAAACGAAATATATGTGTATGGTAACTGTTGTATTTGTTTTTCTGTTCTCAAGGTTACGACAAGAGTGAAATCATATGTTTAATGACGAATTTGGTTCAATTTTGTGGGTTTAATGAAAATTATAAAAACATTTTTCATAATTCTATCTAAAAAACAACTTAACTTTTTTCTAAAGCCTTGATCTACATTTTTTTAAATTAATAATAACCACACTTAAAACGTTCTGAATAGTTTCATGTTGAACAAATATATTTAAGTTTTCAAAAAATTTTATTTTTTGAAATTTATAATTTTTTTTAAACAAAAATTTTTTAAACTATCTACTTTAACTTTTGATGTCATGTACTGCCAATGGAAATGGATGATCCATTGTTTTGTGCGAAAATCGTGTTTAAAAATTCGAAGCGGTGAAAAGTGTGCAGTGGGAAATTGTGAACAAAAATTTAGAAAAAAAATTGTGTGAGTAATTCATATTAATATTTTTTGAAAAATTAAAACAAACATGCGATATTGTAGAATATTCGTTAACCGCTTCGTTCTATGAATTAATGATACATATTCTGGGCTGAGAACCTGAAGTTTTGGCAGTTGAAAACTCGAATTCATAGGATACGTAATAATACAATTAATACATCTGCAAGAATGAAGTATTGATTTGCAAAAAAAAAATGGTATTTACATATTAAATTTGTGTAAACATTAGGTTTGATTCGGCCACCCCGAACGATTTGATCAGACCTTGCACAGCAATTTATTTTTCGCAAATTTTTACGTCATATTTCAATAAAAAAAGTGGATTATGTGACTTGTATAATATGTGTTTTCTTCCGTATAAGAATTTTTTCACATATTTACATACATAAAATTCTTTTTATTATATTTACATATGTATCTGATCTTTGCTCCATTTATATTCCAATAAAGACGGGATGTGATACGTAAGGAATATAGAAAAGTCCAAATTGAGATGTAATTAGCGTAAAATATTAAATTTCTTATCATATCATTGACCCAGCTAAGTATTTGTTAATGTAAAAGTAAATAAAAATATTTAGCGTTTGAATATCACAGCGACTGAGTTAATTTTTACCTACTAAAAGAGACATACCTTACCTTAGCATCCTGGAAAAAAAATATTGCATACGATAATTTATGCAAAAACTAACAACGCACTGAATTTCTAACAAATCGAACCTGGTCCCTAATTTACTTCCAGAAAGAAAATATTGTGTTTTTGCTCATCTCAGCAAAAATATACCTATGATCTGACATCAAGTAAATGGAGCCATAACTACGACTTTTTTCGAATAGGTCAGTCCCTGCGCCTCTTCCAAAACTACGTAAACCTTCCCTGAACTGCCACAAGATCAAAACTAGCCAAACCGGGTCAGGT